TGGGGGAGATTTGAGGATTAAATGAGGTGACAGGTGTAGATTGACGGGTGCTGGCCTGCAGGACCCGCTCCGCGAACCCTGGCTATTGTTCTTGCCCATCAGATTGTCTCCTGTAGCCGGCGGGCAGCAAGCACTCAGTTATACTTGTTCAATGAACGAAGCCAAATCTCAGAGATGTTGAGGAGTGTGCCCAGGGTCACACAGACCCAGGATCCAAATCCACACCTCTGTTGCTGGAGCCCATGCTCTTGTCCCATGCCACCAGTCTGCTACTACACAGCTATCCTGTGCCCGCTTTCATAACTTACTTGGAGGCCATGCTAAGAGTTTGGTGGGAGCTCTGAGCCCCCTAGGCAGAGCTGGCCCAGGCCCTCAGAAGTGAACCAGAGCCCTTTGTTTTCCATTCCCAGAGAAGAGCCCGCTCAGCCCTGGATCCCCGTCATTCAAGGCCAGTGTCCTGCCCTATGGCCCTCACTCTCTCCCAGCCCCTTTCATGACCTTGGCAAATTCTTACGATTCTTATCTTTTCAAACCATCTTCCTAACATCAAAGCCATCTTTCAAATCAGATCAGCAGACTAGAAACAATGAAGAGAGAGGGTCCTACCTCATGTCCTGGAATGTAGTTTGCAGGTGGGGATGGCAGGCCCTGCAGATAAACTGGAAAGAGGCTGAGAGGTGTCAAATGTGACCTCTGAAGGAAGGTAACCCGAGCAACTGGAAGGACATGCCGTGAACTGAGTTGGGAGAAACATGGGAGCAGCAGGGCCCTAGGGGGCGATCCGAGGCGTGTTTGGCCCAGGCAGTGCCTAGGGTGTTGGTGAGCAGCTGAGAGTAAGGGGAGAGAGCTGGCTGGCCATGTAAAAGTGAGAGTGGCCAGTGTGCAGCAGTGACAAGGAGCAGGTGGAAGGGCAGCCCAGGGCACGCAAGGTGAAGAGGTGACGGGAGGAGGACGAAGCAGCCCTGGAGGAGCCCACGGAGGTGCCCTGGAGGTGGGTTGAGGGGCCGCGAAGCTGCTCTGCAAAGCCAGCCATGTCTGCACCTCCCTCCTCTGTCCTGGAAAGCGCTCAATTCCTGGCAGGAGTCGGGGCTTCCTGAGGGTGGAGGGAGGTGGTTGGGAGGTGAGAGGAGCAGGCAGGCCCTCGGCCTGTCTTGAGATAGGTGTAGCTTTCCTAGGAAATGGCCTCTGGTCTCCTCTGTCAGCCTCGTTCATTCGCTCACTTCTGGCGAACTCCCTTCATGGGATCCCTGGGTATCAGGACCCTTAGATGTCATGCAGGGTTCTTACTGGGGACGTGCTGCTAGCTCCACTTTATACCCAGGGAACTTGAGATGAACTGACTTGCCCCAGGTTGTACAACTAGAAACTCACATTTGGTTTTTACTCCAAAGCCCATAACCTCTGCCCATGCATTGATCTCTCTTTTCTCTTCTGTTTGTTCAGCCAGTGTTTGTGGGAAATGCCCCATGCCCGTTCCAGGCCAGGCACCAAGTGCCCGTGGACAAGAGAGGGTCCGGTTGCCTTTCTTCACTCACTCACACTTTAGCTTCTTTGAAGACTCCTGGATGACCCAACCCAAACTCCCAGGTCCCAAGCCGGCCTGTCGGGAGTCTTCTCCCGTCCCCCATCCTGATCCTCACCTGGAGGAAGCCTAATGAACATTCTTCTGCTTGTGGTGTCCTGGGATTTTGGAGGGGGACATTGTGAAGACCAGTGCACGCAGCGGGGCTGAACCTGCCCTGTGTGCAAGCCGTCAGCCCCGAATGCTTTGCTATCTCGTGCTTGTTCTGCTGAAGACGGTTTAGGAGGAGGTGGGGGAAGGAGGCCAGGTGAGATGTTCTGGATCCCAGCGATTCAAGTCAGCACTAGTGAGGGTGTGAGTTGCCACATGGAGCTGGGGTGCCCGGGGGGAGAGGCCCTCCTCTGCTGAAATGAGAGTGTGGGAGGGAGGAGAGGCATTCTCCTGTCCCCCGTCTGCGAGGCTTAAGGATGCAGAGATGCCGGCCTTGAGCACCTCTTACCTGTCCACAACTTCCCACCTCAAAGAACAACACACACACACACACACACACACACACACACACACACACACACTTGTACCTCTACTGCTCATTCAAGAAGTTCTTGTAGAGAAAAGACGTAGTGGAAAGTTAGATAGAAACCACTGGAAAGGTCTCCTCTCTTCTCTTCCCCTGCCCCCTGTTTCTCTCTCAAAAAAACCAAACAAACAAGCAAAAAACGCTGTAAAGACTGTGACATCTTCATTTATTTTTTAAAATGTGATTTTAAAACATATCCTCAAACTCAAAATCTGGTTATGATAAAAGGCCAAACACAAATGGGAGTGATCTGGAACTTTCTCTTTGTAAGGACATTCAAGGGGATGTGTGTGTAGAAGAGACCGATGGAATCTGTTCACTTTCAGTTTGGCTCGTGTCTCAGGTCACATATGTCACTCTTCTCTCATCAGGTGAAGCAAATCATGAGCTTCAGAGGGCAAAGTGTTTGTGAGCCTCCAGACCAGGGCTTCTCTTTATAGGTGCGGCCACCCATGGCTTCATGACCCTGACAAGTTCACGGCTTCTGGGAGCCTCAGTTTCCTCATCTAGCAAATGAGGATGAGAAATCCTACCAGACAAGGTTGCTGAGGGAATTAAATAATAGAGTAAGGACAATAGTAGGCAGATGGTTATGGTCGTTCCTCACCACTTATTAGAGAGAGAGAGAGAGAGAGAGAGAGAGAGAGAGAGAGAGAGAGAGAGAGAAAGGAAAGAAAGATGGAAGGAAGGAAGGATGGAAGGAAGGAAGGGTTAGCTCCTAGAGTTTTTATTAGGAAATTCTTTACCTCCCTTCACAGTCCAGTGCTGGGGACTTCAAGTGGTCACTTGTATTGAACATTGTCACATGACAGATGGGGCAGTAATAGTTGCTTTAGACATCAACCAGTGTGTCTTCCAGCCACCCTTAAATTTGGGTCTCATTAACCCATTGTCCTGATATGCTGATTTGTGATTAGAGGGTTAATTAATTGGCCCACAGCCTGGTTAGCAAAAGACAGAGGCCAACCTCTAGCCCAGGTTCAGCTGACTCTACCATACCAGAGGGCAGAACTCCTCCCAGTTCTGCCCATGGCTACAAGCCATGAGTGAACAGAACCAGTAGCCTCATGGGCTGGAACGGATCTTTAAGAGACTTCAGATTGGCTCTCCAACGTTACACCTACCCAGACCAGCCTGGCACTATTTAGTGACCCCTGGAAGAGTTCAGTCTTTTCCCATCTCAGGGGTGGGTTGAATTGAATTGTAGGAATCGAGTAGGGAGCCCCAGAGCTGAGAAAATGTAATACTTCAAAAGGAAACAGCTCTCCTTGTGGTGGCTAGAAGGTTTGGAGGGAAGCTGGGGGTTCAGTTCAACTCTCCCGGAGTTGGTGGCAAGGTTCAAAGGTCAGACCTTGGGCTCCATCTGACAATGACATCATAATCTTGACCATCTGGAAATGTCATGAAGACTAAATTTTTTTCTATTTTCTTTTCTACTATTTTCTGCTTCTAGAAGAATTCCAAGCATATAGAAGATATTATAAGAGGGAATGAGTGGATTTAATTATAATTTCAGGGCATTTGCTCTAACAGCTTCCTCTGTTTCAAATATACTTATCCTGGAGAGTCACGTGGCTCAGGTCTTCTAGTTAGGTCCAGCCTCAAAAGTCACCTACAGAGAGGTCACTTCTGACCAGCCCACCCAAATCTCCTGTCCTCCTTCACTTCCATCCACTCTTCCTGTGCTTTTTCTAACTCTTGGGGGATGATGAGTCTATCACCACTTTCCCTACAGCCAGTTCCATGAGAGCAAAGCATCCATCTTTTGTGCTTTGCACCTGTCAAGCACCTCGCCTAGTGGGAGTCTGAGCTTCATAAATTGTGTTGAATGAGCAGGTGAGTGAGTGAGCGAGCGGATGGATGGATGCCTAACGCAGGGAAGAGCGTGGTGCAGAGCCCCACCTGCAGCAGGTGAGACACACACGTTAGCTTCATGGTGTTGGTGGTGATAGTCAATGCCTTTGTGAGGCCATTCTCTGTGGGTGCTCTGGTGGGTGGTGACTATAAGGGGCTCTGCTTGCCCGCCACCTGTCCTCCCTCCTCACTCCATCACAGGATGCTAAAGAGCAGGGTTTCCTTCGTTTTTGTTTCTGAACCAACTCTGGCTCTTCCTGGTCCCTCTTGGTGGAATGGTGACAGGGCGTTGGGAAAGTCTATTTTTCTCCTTCACTCCTAACACACTTTCAGATCCTTCCTACTAATGTGTAAATGGCGCACAGCCACCTCCTCCATGCATCCCATTCCACTCCAACCACCCAGCTTTCCCAGCTTCTGGAATGTTCATATCTTTTTGATGTCATCGTGCTGTCAGATGACTAAAATGCCTCCACTCTGTCCCCAATTCATTCCCAAAGAAGTTCTGTCCAAACCCAGTCCTAGTATCCCCTACTCAACCCCAGATTTTCCAGCAGTTTCTATCTCTCCTCTCCGGTTTCCCACTCAGCCTTCTCCTTTTTCCATTATAGTCCACAGGGCACTATGCTTAACCAAAACTTTCTCCCCCAACCCAGAAACAAGCTCCACATGAGGAGGAATTCTGCATATGGTGGGAAGCGGGGAGATCGGGCAGCTCTGGCTTGAGTCTTCAAGTCTGTGGTTTAGCTGCCAGAACTCCTGGGTTCCAGTCCTATCTCCCCTCTTACCATCTGAGAGACCTTGCCAAATTACTCAATGCCCACTGAAAATGAGATCCTAGGTATTGCATTTCAGAAAGCGTTAAATACCACCGACCAATAGACAAAACTGTAAAGAGGCAACCTGGACTGGGTCTTGTGAGGGGATGGCTTGGGATGGGTGGAACTGGAAGTCATCATTAGGTCTTTTTCCATTCATATAGGGAGATCTGTTAATAATGAGACATAAACTTGTTTGGAACCAGAGGCCTAGAAACCAAACAACGGCTGAAGGTATTTCTGAGAACACCCAGATCTTTATTATCTTTGTTAATTTGGCAGAAAATGCCTCAGACTGAAATCTCACTGAGGTTCGCTCAGTTCAAATGCAAGTCTTTGTTGCTCCTAGGCACACAGCCTTGTGGACCATGGAAATACAGTGATATACACAGTCTTTGAGACTCACATCCAAAGAAATGGAAAGAAAGCAAATTCCAGAACACAAAAACAAAAGTATAAAAACTGTTTAAATATTGAAGTGCGCTCCATAACACAAAAGTTCATATCTTGTGGGAAACTTGGAGAATTTTCCACCATGGAGGAGGGGCAGGTGGGCGCTTAGGATGCAACTGTCCCTTTTGACCTCGTTAACACGTTGTGCTCTGAAACATGGTGAGGAAGAAGTTGCAGAAGGAGCTCCAGGAGTCCCCGCAGAACTCCAGGGCAGTCTTCCTCTGGTTCACCACATCTGGGTCCTCCATACACTCTGGACCTTTGACGGCCACAGTCTGAGTCTCTGCTGGTCTGGACTGGATGTTCTCTTTGACCTCATTTGGCTCCAGGGCCGAAGGGCTGGTGACCTCAATATGCTCCTTGGGGGACAGCTCTGTTTTCTCCTTTCTGGGCTTCATGTTCTCATGCAGAGTGGAGTTTACCAACTTGAGATTGGATTCTGGAAACTGCTTTTTGCACACCCTGGTCTTCAGGACACTCTTGGAGTTCTCACATAAGTTCTTCTGTTTGCGCAGCGTCCGGACGATTTGTTTCCAATAGGCCTTCTCATTATTGAGCTTGAGGCATTTAGTTGGCTTTCCGGCAAAGACACAAGAAAACTCCTGGTCCATTCGAGTGCACTCCACTTTCAGGGTGACGATCAGCTCCTGCTCAGTCACTGACCATCTGCAGGAAGCTTGGTCTTTGGTGGCAAATTTGCCATTGGTCATGGACTTGGATGTTCTGCTTCTCTGCTTACTCTGGCCCTTGCCCAGAGGAACTGATGGATCTCCTTCTGGTATGCTGCCCCGTCTGTTCTTTGTTCCATTTCTGACCTTTGCTGAGAGCACTTGAGCAGCCAGGAGGAGAAATGAGAGGAGGGCAAGGCTGTGGATCTTCATGGCTTCAGCTGGGCAGGCACCTGTTGGATGAAAGACAGGGACTCAGTGCTGGGCAGCAGTTGAGTGTGCAGGACTGCAGGCTGGCCTCCTGCACCCTGATCCATGTCTGCCCACTTTAGGAGGAGACCAGAAATCTGTCTGGCTCCTGAAATCACTAGATGAGTAGCCTGTCTGCTCCCACTTCCACTTGACCTGAGCTTTTGAGTGGCAAAATGTTACCATTCTTCATCCCTCACCACTCTCAGAGCCTCCCTAACTCTCCCACTCACGCACTCAGTTACTCCTGCACTTGCCCCACGCTTCAGTTACTCATTCAACAAGCATTAATTGAGCACCAATAATGGGTCATGCACTATCCTAGCTGTTGATCACACCATACTGACTGAGAAAACCTTGGGTCTTAAAGAGCTCAGAGCCTGCCCTTGGAGAGATTTAAATAGCCTTGACCATGGAGTTGGTCTCATTCTGTTCTCAACTTGATCTTGGACAAGTCACTCTCCCGCTCTGGGTCTCAGGTCCTTTACCTGGAAATCAAGGTGTTGAATGAAATAGTCAAACCCTTCCTTAGTTCCAATGTGCTGACTTTCCACCTCACAAGTCTGCACAGACACAGATGACCACAAAATCAGAAAGGATGTGGCAAGAGCCATAGAAATGTCATAAAACGTGATGTTGACTCAGAGGCTGAACCTGCTCAGGGTTTGACACCTGGAGCTGGGTGGTGCTCTGGGGTAGAGGGAATATTACCGAGGGAAGGAGGATCCCCAGGAAAGGCACAAAGGTGGGAGGTCACTGGACATGACAGGGCAGAGTGAACCCAGGTGGAGAGGGATGAACTTCAAGCAGAATGCTTAGACCACAATCTGAAGGCAAGTGTGGTGCCCATTGGCTTCTGGAGCCCTGTGGTGGCACAGTGCTGGGCAGACACAAAACCTGTAATCCAGGTGTTTTGAAAAAAAATTCCTTGGATCCAGAGGATGACCTTGAATGTTGGACTAAACTCCATGGATTTTATCAGGTGAATACTAAAAGAAAAGAAAAAAAGCCACACCTCAAAGAATCCCAGGTCTATCTGACACCCACTAAGTGCTGAGCATTGTTCTAGCATTTGATTTTCATCCTGTTTAATCCTTACAAGAACCCGGCCCCATCGCTATTCGTCTGTCACTCACAGTAACAGCTGTGACAGTTAGGGCTCAGGCAGGTGAAGCGGGCGGTGACAAAGCTGGTAGGGCCGGCCAGACCACATCTCACTGGGTCTCTCCCACCCCTCCTTGGTCACTTCTCGCTTTCACCTTCACTCTCATCTTCAGAAAATACTAGCGAGGAATCAGAAAACTCTCAACGGTCTGGTTTGGCCATACTGACAGGGTTATTCAGATCATCTGTTTTGTGGGTGTTTTTTTGCCCCTTTTTTCACGGATTGAATTTTGTTTGAAAAAGGGAAAGCCCCAGGAAGCAGCTATGATCTCATTTGCACCTGGGGTTTGCCCACCCACTGCCGTCAGGAAAGGAAGACCATCACCCGAGTCTGGGCTAAAGCAATGAAGATGCCCAGGGCCCTGGGACTTGGCTCTTACTTGTCCATCAAGGGATCTGGACTCAAAAAAGCCAGGTCCTCATGTGGGGTGAGAACTGGGGGCAATAGTGAAGTCTTAAGAGAGCCAGGCCCTTACCTTGCTCTGAGTATGCAGATCCAGGGCGACCCCGGTGTGGGAGCAGTGGCAGGCTGGCAGTCCTCTGAGAGGCAGTGCAAGGCAGGGTCGGCTATTTATAGGAGCCCACGCCTGGGTTTTTACAGCACTCAGACTTGAGCGGCTTTGCTCACACTCCTCCCAGCCACGCCCCTCAGATGGAGCCAGTTCCTACAGGGAAAGTGCTGGGTGGAATCCAGTGAGCAGGGGGTTACACGCGTGCCATTAGACATGCTTCCTGCAGGCCTCTCCCCTTCCACCCAGCAGCCAGGATAGAGGCAGAGCTCAGCCTTGCAAACCTCCTTGATAAGGAGGTTCAAGCACCTAACAATGATATCCCAAGGGAATAAATTAACTGTAACTACATTACAGCTGTGAAGCCCTGAGCCCATCCCTAAGAGCTCATTCCTGCTCCTCCTCACCACCACCCAAGGAGGGGGCTCTGGATGCCTCTTCCCATTTTACAGAAGGAGACAGTGGCTCTTGGAAATATCCAAGGGCTTGCCCAAATTCGCCGAGGTAGGAAAGGGGGAGTTCCAAATTTAAACCAGGACTCTCAGCGTCTGTATTCTGTCCTCTTCCCACCTGCCAATCTCAATGAATACTTGGGGAATGAGTGACAGAAGTGGCTGAAGCTTCTTGGTTTCTCAGTCGTTTTCACTGAGCCATCTGAAGTTACTGCGTGGGCAGCGGAATCTGTGGGCCCTGAGGCTGGTAAAGAGGGAGTTCTTAATACTGGAATTCCTATTGAAAATATTCCCTTCCAGGTTGCACGAGGGATCTCACTCTGGCCATCCAGCTGGAGGTACAGTTTTACACAAGAATGACCTCGGTGGGAAATGATTTCGGTGAACTGTGTGACTTTATTCAAACTACTTGACTTAAACTCCTGTGGATGATTTCAGCACCTCATTTAGAGCTGCATACTGATTTTTTTTTTAATTACTGGAGCTGAGCTATTAACAAGTGAAACAGAACAGTTTGGGTTCATAATAATTTCTTAAGCTGCGTTCTTTGAAAACAGACATTATATTATCACCTATGAGTTATTTTGAAAATGTTCTTCATTTTAAACTGTTGTGTCTTTTAATTAGATTGGAGTTATGTTGTTCTCTTTATCAGAGAGTTTTAAATAATGAATGCAACTTTTCTTTTGAGAGTCTAAATGATATGAACACAATTGATTACCACCACCAATGGAGCTGATAACTGAATGTGTGTCTCATCTGGTGTGGTCACTGGCATGCAATTTCAAGTTCAAGGCTGACTTTACTCTCGGGCTTGTTACTACATATAGTTTCTTGACCTAGAGGGTTGGCCCTGTTGGAGCAGTCACCAGGGTTTATATGAGTGGGTGTGCTTGGGTTCTTAGCTGAGTCCTAACCCTGCAATATCACCAGTGAAGGCTGTCAAAAATCAATCCTTTCTTCAAAAGGATTTTTGACTGAAAATGCTGAGTTGCTGCATTCAAGCAATATTAATTCATTGCGTAAAATATTATGCATTGAAAACTTCTCTTGTTAGAGAAAATGGAGATATTGGCTTAAGAAATATCAGTAAAATCTAATCAGTTTGGAAAAAAAAAAAAACTCATCTTAGACTCACCCTAGAGAGTTTGCTTCCAAATTGAAAGTGCTTATTAGTCATGAGCTTTCGGAATTTCCTGTTCAGCAAATTCAATGAGACACAGTGCTGAAGTTTTACTTCTATAGAAAATTAAGATACAGCAAAATATTGGTATTATAGCTTTGGTTATGAAAGCATAAAAATCTATTAAAATTCATTTACCTTTATAAAAATGATTTTTCAAAACACAAATATATTACCCAGAAATACATCCATAAATATGTACACCGATCAACTTTTTCACCCTTTCTGAATTTTTTGAAACTTTGTTTGTAAGGAAATCATTCTTAAACAGCAAGTATCCTTTAAAGAAGTCTGACCCTTGGGACAAAATTTTCACAACACACACATACCCCTTCCTGTGTGTGCACACGGATGCCCTCACATGCATGTGCTTGCACACTGGCATGTGTGCCTACAGGTCTATGCATACGCTATTGTGTACACATGGCACACAACTCACACACACACACACACACACACAATTGTGTAATTGCCTTTAGGCCACCTCATGGGACAGAAGAAGGTTCTAGAGAGACTCCCTTTTCAATTTTCAATAAGCCCATGTGTGTTACAATGAGTGCCAATTGCCCCACTGGAAATCTGGAAATGTCGGAAGTTGAGTACCCTCTTTCTCCGTGGTCAAACTGGGGGTCGCCACGCACCCTGACATCTGACTACGTTGCTTCCATTGCATAAACCTATGAAAAGGTTTAGCTAAAAACCCCAGAAGACATCTCTGAAAAGTCTCCTATGGGCATCCAGACAGAAGTGTATCAACCCACAGAGCCAAAGGACCCACACATCAGTGTTCTGTTTAGGAGAAGACAGGGAGGCCCAGGGGATAGAACCGTGATTGGTTCCATAAGGAAAAGGACTGGACTCTAAGACGAGCTACTCAGTCATTCCTTTATTTGCTAATTCCTTCATTTGTCCAAAGAACCTTCATGAAGCACCTGCTATGACCAGACCCTCTCAGTTACTGGATGGCTGAAAATGCAGTCAAGAGTGACAGTCCTTGTCTTCAAAGAGAAGACAGACAAGGTGGAATAATAAGTTTATAAATGTCAGTGCAGGGGTTGGTTGGAATGTTGGAGGGCAGCCTGGGGTGCTATGGGTGGGGATATCATATCCAGTCAAAGAGGCAGAGAATAATTTACCAGGAGTCCACAGCTGCAGAGACAGCTTCACAGCAAGGGAAATGGATTGTTATTGATTTAGCCATTGTCCTGTGGCTACTGTATGTGCAGGGCAGTAGGCAGGCACCGGAAGGAATACCGAGGTGAATATGGCTTGGCTTCTTTTTCACCTGGCCAGTGTAGCCTTCACCATCAGAGGGCTGCTGTGGTGGCATTATCTCATCACTCTGATGTCTTCACATCATGTTAAGGAAATCTGTGGTGAGCTTCAGAGCCTGGGATGTGGACTTGGGTGTCCTTTCCATGGTGCCCACTGGAATTGAAGTGGGTCTTAGCATTTCCATGTTTGGCCAAAGCAATGGCTTCCTTGGAGGCCAGTCTTCTGGATTGTAAACCAATGAAAGCAGCCAGACCACAAGCAACAAGATCAGCAGTTAAGAGAATGACTGGACTTGCTCTTACCAAGTTTTAGTTTTTGTTTTTGGTGGAAGTCAAGGTTCAAATGGGTCTCCCATCAGATGGGCAGCCACTCGGCCAATGGAACAATGGATACTTATTTGATCCCAGAAGAGTTTGGGCTCTCCGTTAGCTATGCTTATAGGATAGAAGCAAGATGGAAAATTTATAAAATAGATTAAGCTTTAATGGAAATCAGTTCTTTTAGGCATTTATTTGATAGGCTGAACTTTAAAAATTGTTTTTAATTGGTTCATTATAATTATATATAATAGCAGATTCATCGTGACTTATTTGTATATGCACACACATGATTTGGTCAGTTCCATTCCCTAGTCCCTCCCCTTTCCCACCCTCATTTCCTTTCTCTACTCCATTTGTCTCTTCTGTTTTCTTGTGGTCCCCCCACCACTTATCCCATTTTTTCTCTTTAGCTTCCACATATGAGAGAAAACATATGAGCCTTGACTTTCTGAGCTTATTTTGCTTAAGACCATGATCTCAAGCTTTTGATGGGCTGGATTTTTTTCCCCATTTTTAAAGTTTGTTCTAATTAGTTATACATGGGCTGGACTTTGAAAGGCATCGTTTGACGAAGCCCCTACGTATCTCAGCCGTGCCAGTTACCAGGGACAGGAAAGTTCTCCTGAATACCTCTTCCTTCAGCCCTTGAGCACTGTGTGTTCTGAGAACTGAAGCTTGTGTCTAGGTTACTATTACTAATGCCTGTGACTCTGAAAGGAAATAAGGAGTGTCTTGGCACGGCCTTGTGGTTTGGCCTCAGTATGTGCACAGACATGTGTGATTTTTGATTTATATTTTGGGTTTCTATGAGGCAAGAGAGCTCAGAGTATTTTACCCTTAAGGGGATAATTTTTAGGTAGTGGCCCAGCAGTTTATAATAAATGTCAAGGCAACTTGTTGGCCAGGATGTCTAGTACTAAGATGAAGGCCAAAGTTTTGGCCAAGTACATTGTTTCTTGGGCTCCATCCTATGTCCACAAGGACATGGTGGCTAAGGGCCACAAAGCTGCAGTTTTCTGCTGAGCTCCGTGGTATACGAGGGCAGCAGTGCCACCTGAACAGTCTGTAAGACCCCGGGCTATTCAACTACTTCATTCTAAGGAGGTCCCCAGGGAGGGAAAGGTGACCTCCTCCAGCGTTCTGACGTCTGACAAGATGGTGAGAACAGGCCCTCACTAGCTGTGTTGAGGCTGTAGAGTGTGGTTTCCTTGATCCAAAGCACAGTGGATAGTCGGGGAGGGGAAGGCATAGGCTCAGGGCTGAAAGAGTCTCTGTTTTTAGCCGGTTGTTGTTTTAATAGTCTTTAGTAAGAGACAGTTGCCTGCATCTGAGCCCCTGGCCAACTTTCGGTCATCATAAGTGGTCTAGAAACTTCAGGAGGCTTGAGAAGTTGATGAAGCCTCTTCATTGAAGGAGTATCTATCTGCAGGCACTAGCCGCAGTGCCTGTTGGCTTTACTTTGGAAAGAAAAGTTGTAAATGAAGAACATGTTGCCATCAGAACCCCCAAACCACTAACAGGTGTTGGGCTTGTCTTCCATGACGAGTGCGCCAAGGAGCAGGTCATCAAGGAAGTGTTGCAACTGTGCTCCTGGAGGAGGGCAGAGCCGCTAAGCCCTTGTCTGCAAAGGTTCTGCGTGGTGGCAGGGCTGAGGACCCCGGGCAGCCTGCGGAGCCATATGAAGTGAAGGCAACTGCACCTCAGATGCTGCTCTGAGAGGCCCTGGACAGAGTGTGTTGGCCGAATCTTTAAAAGCAAAGTGTCTGTCAGTTGTTGATTGGATAGAGTCAGTGATTGTGAGGGAAAGTGGGGGAGGGGAAGAAGAGGGGCCTGTCTCTGTAGGTAGCAGCTTCTCCCCAGGACAGCCCCCCACTCCGCCCCCCACTACAGAAG